GGGGTACCAAAATGGGACCCTTATTGTGGGAATCACACAATTGAAGAGGATTGCCAGACCTACTTCAGCAGACCCCTTAACGGATCCAAGAAATAGACCCCCCCTCCCCAAATACTTCCCTAGTTTCCCCAATGTAGTAATGATTCGGGGGGTTCCATTTTTGGATCCTTTAGGTCTGGGTCACTGCTTGTGTAACTACCGGGGGGCACAGCTGATAATGACCGAAAATGCTTAAGCTTGAAGCTTGGAAACCTTGGTACTATATAGACTACAAAAGTCATGCAGGATTTTTCAATATCAATCGTACGGTTGATGGGCATACGCACCCTAGACCTCGTAAGATCATGCATGATTTGTGGCATGAACGCACATTTACCCATTCACCCTCCCCAAAATTAACATGAAACTGAATATCCCCCCTTTTGAAGAGGACATAGGTTTTTTTTTTTCCGTGTCCTCACTATTGACTTCTACATTGTGTCTGGGGGAGGGTAAAGAGCTTTGAGCATGGCTCGCATGCCGCATTGAGCCTCCGAGCCAATAAGCAGAATCACTCTTAGGTTGCCTTCAACAGGGACCGAACTTGAGTAATTACCATGTGCACCGGGTTTCTGGTGTGGAGATCCCTAAGGCTTTGCATCAATAGCGCTTCTTGGTGGTTGAACCAAGTATATAGGGTTTATGGGGTTTAGGGTTTAGCGTTGAGGGCCGTTTGCAAGACAGAAGGAGGACCAATCTTACTCCACAGCTGGGATGCCGTGCCCTCAAATGCAACACCGCACCGATGCCCGTGGACAACTGGAGGATACATGAGCACCGTCACCTCATTCTAGATTCTAGGAATGGACGTCTAATGAAATATTTCGTTTAGACGGGCGGCTCTTCTGCGAGGGATGCCTTAGATGCACGAGCCACGGCACTGATAAATTTCTAGCCGCTAGGCTGAACACCTTCTTCCTTCAAAGTGAAGATAATGACAGCGATGTTATCATTGTCATGAAGATGACGAACTTCCTCTTCATAGTATAAAGCTGAATACTGGCAAAACTTGATTGTGCAAGGGCCGGTCAACAGTGGGCGAAATTCAGATAAAGGAAGCCTGAAGGGCAACCCTCCCGTCACCGCGGAAGGTTTCTTTAGGCAGACCCTCCTCTCCTTGTAATCCCTACGTATCGCTGCAATCACTTGCTGTGCTCCCCAACCCCGTCGTCTTGGTAAGTCCCTGAATGTCTGCTATCTGCTCAGGGCAGGTGCGCATCACACTACTTATGGCAGGTTGTCGCACTAGTGCTGCAGTCTTGCATTTCGAATATAATACAGGCCCAACAAGGAAAATGTTCTTGACCACCCCACCACATGGTAGTTGCTCGAAATACATCTTACCAAAATGGTCATAAGGTAGGCATGTGATTCAAAGGAAGTATGTTCCCAATAGTCCCTTCTTTATGGGGACTTTTTCAGCAACCCATACCCACAGGGCCCACTGGGCAGGGCTTCTTTGGGAGATAACCTGTAAGGTCTAGGGCTTAGGGTTTAGGGTCTGAGCAGATGCCACTATGAACTTCTAACGTATGGAAAGGGCCCAAGGGCCCAAGGCAAGGACTTCAGGCATGCTCGCCCTAGGGCCATTATCATGTAGCATCTACATGGAATGAATAAACATCCTCCTAACTTTTCTATACAAGAGTAGCCAGTAGCTGTGTCGTGTTTTTGTGACCTCGACCGCGAATGTCCAGGAGGCCTCCGAACTCTGCGTGTCAACAATCTTCAGAGTAAGGGTCAAACCCCTTCTGAATAAGCACCTTTCACGCTAAACCCTAAAACGTAAAGAGAGACTTTTCTAACCGTAGCAACCCTTCAGGCCCAAACCCCAAACCTGAAGTTGAGGTGTAGGGTTCAGGATTTAAATCATTAAATCCTGAAATCACCAAAGTTCGAATCAGATGCAGGCTCAGCATCCAGCAAGAGAGCTTCTTCCTTGAAGTTGGGGTGGGTACCCATTGGGGTAATATGAGGGTTATATTGGGGTTATATTAGGAATGTTGGCAAAGAAAATAGAAACCACTATAATGGGGTTTATATAGGTTTTAGGGGGTTAGGCTTAGGGCGGGTCTGCTTTACACTGGCTAAACTGTGGTCATCCCAATGTCCCCAGGCTTGGATATGGCCGTCCTGCGGCTATTCGCGATACAATTTATGTCTACGGTCGGTCGGATAGGTTGCAATTTGCACAATGTAAGGGCCTGAATACTTACCAACATCATATGTAAGGTCCCCTTGAGGTACCCTTTACCATGAGTATACACGGAACCACATTGGAAGTTATTTGGTTTCTAAAGTAGTTGTGCAACTTCAATTTGAGAGTTTAGGATTGGGGCTTGAGGTCCTCGCGAACATGTTGGAACTTGTCTGAACCATGCTCCGTGAACCTGAAACTCCCTTTGAAACCCCACTTGGAGGTCAGGGGGGACGTGGTGAGAAGGATCTTGATGAGGATAACTGGGGGTACTACACGGTTTAGAACCCTAAACCCCAAACCGCGTGATGGATTCCCCTGACCCTCCAACTAAGCTCTGAAGTGACGTAGCTTCAGTCAGGACAGTCCCCGCATGTAGCTCCCAAACGAAATACGAAAATTTCACGCCTCATGAAGATCTTCGTAGCTTTCTTGAAAATTTCCGCTCATCTTTGGGTTTCATCTAAACCAAATCCTAAACCCTGAGCCCTAAATCCTAAGCCCTGCTCCTCTACGAGCTTTACACTTTGGGCTTAAAGGATGCTCCCCTATGGGCTCGACTCGTCGGCAGAGATGATCGTCCACATTCATGGGACTCTGAGGTTTAGGGTTCAGGTATACGTAGAAAGCCTAGTTACTCATAATAATGGGCTACTTTAACCCAAAGTAGTAGGAAATTAGGGGAAAGTTGCCTATTGTTGTGGGTAACTGGCTTCCTAGGTAGAGTTTAGCTATAGAGTTGTGGGGTTTTCAGGGTCTCACATGACATCCTGTTGTTTCTGTGGGCCCCTGTATTCTTAGGATCCTTTGCGCAGTATCCCCATCCTCTAGAACCAGCCACATAATAACAGCTGCCAGGCAGAAGCGGCGAACATAACTTGCTCATTAGGCTATTGAAGGTTTCGGGTTGAATGTAACTGCGGCGCTGTGAAGGACTTTGTGCCTCAACGCCAGAAGCGTATCTATCCTCGTGCGGCTAGCTACCCTCGTTTGCCCGACGAAGTGCAGCCCAAATTCCGGACCCCTGAGTGTAACAGTTCTTTCGGCCTAGACATTTCGGTGTGGAAGTGGCTATAGCTTTCTATGGATCAAAATGCGCGGCTTTGAGGGTTTAAGGGGCAAGAAATTGCACCACACTTATGCGCATGAGCGTGCTTTCGCCGTGTCTACTACAGCGGATGCGTCTGTTTCTTGTTCTTCTTCTCCTCCTTCTTCTTCTCATTCTCATGGCTTCGGCTGGACATGTCTCAGCACTGAGTAACCCTATGCAACAAACATGACATGATGTGCATGAGGATCCCGCAGGAAGGACCACAACACATGAGGACTACCTTGA